GGGTTCAAGCGATTCTCCTGCCTCAGCCTCCCAAAGTGCTGAGCCACTGTGCCCATCCTAAAGTTGTTATTTTTCTAGTCTCAGAAATTGTGGTGAAAGAAGCTATAAGATGGCCGGACGTAGTGGCTCACGCCTGTAATCCAAGCACTTTGGAGGCCAAGACAGGCAGATCACCTGAGGTCAGGAGTTCAAGACCAGCCTGACCAACATGGTGAAACCCCCTCTTTATTAAAAAAAAAAAAAAAAAAAAAAGGCTATGAGATAAATGTGTTGTTTTTTCCACTCCTAAACTGTTCTTAGGAGAACAGTTTCACCACCACTCATCCTTGAAACCATCATTTCCAGGCAGGAGAGGACAACAAATTTGGAAAAAGAATATAGAAATGGAGACATGGGCTTGACATCATTTGTTTTTCACTTTCCAGCAGCAGGGAAATCTGTGAGTGACATTTACTTCTAGTGTCCAGTGCCTTGTGTGGTTCCAGTCACAAATCCCTACTCATGGGCAGCGGGGCCATGAACCAGGGAGCCCGTGGTGATGACAGCCTGCAGGACCCCTATGTCCAAACAAGAGGCGACCCTCAAAGCAATCTGCACGGGCAGTGCTGCTGTCAAGGAAATGCCAGAGCCGGGTGGTAGTTACCGTGGCCAAAAGAGACTTCATTCAGGACCATCGCGGTAGGGGAAAGGGGACCACAGCGTAGAAGTGGGCTCAAGTCGGAATTCAGCATGAGCAAGTGGGACTCGATAGGCGAAGAGTGAGGTGAGGCTGGGAGGGTGGAAAATTGCATCAGGGATAAGGCGTCCTAGTTCCCCTGACACTGAGAATAGAGAAATAAACTCAGTTTCTCCCAGTAAAGCCTCATAACACACTTCTGACACCAGATATGGGAAGGATTTTCCCCACACCTCGAGTGAACAATCAGTTCTGCAGTGGACCTCCACTTGGTCCTCCAACTGGTTGTTCTCCAATTCAATTCTGACATTATCCACCTGGGATAGCGTCAGATCCTGCAGGCTGAGGGCTCAGTCTCCATGACTGCCCCCCAACTTCCAAAGCCAATTGGAAGCCCCAAGTTCTTTCACCTGTCCTTCAGTGAACAGCTCTAAATTGAGATAAAAATTGAGGTTCCTGGCCGGGCGCGGTGGCTCAAGCCTGTAATCCCAGCACTTTGGGAGGCCGAGGCGGGTGGATCACGAGGTCAAGAGATCGAGACCATCCTGGTCAACATGGGGAAACCCCGTCTCTGCTAAAAAATAAAAAAAATTAGCTGGGCATGGTGGTGCGTGCCTGTAATCCCGGCTACTCGGGAGGCTGAGGCAGGAGAATTGCCTGAACCCAGGAGGCGGAG